CGCTGACTGGCTCAGCCTTGGCCGGCAGCGGGTCCATCTTAGAGCCGGCTGGGATGGGCTCTCTCTCGAACACAGGTGAAGCTTCCAGCAGCTTCTTACAGAAGCCACCCCTGTAACCTCCCCCACTACCAAAACCTTGCCACACAAAGCCAATACAGTTATCCTACACAACATCCTGTAAAATACATCTAATACCACACAACTCTAGGATATTGTTGTTAACTTCTCTGTGTATCAAACAGACAAACATGAGACTCTTGAAGAGAGAGTAGAATCCCATTTACCTGGGCAAACTGAAGTTTAGATAGGAAAAGACTTAATACTTAAAGTTAAGATTAAGATAAACATTAATATGTACACTTTGAAAATGCAATGGAAAATTATATGTTCCTAAAGCTTAATCTCATAGAATCATAGAATGGTTTGGGTTGGAAGGGACCTTAAAGATCATCTAGTTCCAACCCCACCTGCCATGGGCAGGAACACCTTCCACTAGACCAGTTTGCTCAAAGCCCCATCCAACCTGGCCCTAAAAACTTCCAGGGAGGGGGCATCCACAACTTCTCTGGGCAACCTGTTTCAGTGCCTCACCACCCTCACAGTAAAGAATTTTTTCCTAATATCTAATCTAAATCTACCCTCTTTCAGCTGAAAACTGTTACCCCTCATCGTACCACTACACTCTCTGTTAAAGAGTCCCTCCCCATCTTCCCTGTAGGACCCCTTTAGGTACTGGAAGGCTGCTTTAAAGTCTCACCAGAGCCTTCTCTTCTCCAGGCTTAACAACCCCAACTCTCTCAGCCTGTCCTCATAGGGGAGGTACTCCAGCCCCCGATCATCTTCGTGGCCCTCCTCTGGACTTGCTCCAACATGTCCATGTCTTTCTTCTGTTGGGGGCCCCAGAGCTGAACACAGCACTCCAGGCGGGGTCTCACCAGAGCAGAGGGGCAGAATCACCTCCCTTGACCTGCTGGTTACACTTCTTTTGATGCAGCCCAGAATGCGACTGGCTTTCTGGGCTGCTAGCACATGTTGCTGGCTCATATTCAGTTTTTCATCCACTAATACCCCCAAGTCCTTCTCCACAGGGCTGCTCTCAATCCACTCATTGCCCAGCCTCTATTTGTGCTTGGGATTGCCCTGACCCATGTGCAGGACCTTGCACTTGGCTTGTTGAACTTCATGAGGTTCACACAGGCCCACCTCTCAAGCCTGCCAAGGTCCCTCTGGATGGCACCCCTTCCCTCCAGCACATCAACCACACTTCACAGCTTTGTGTCACTGGCAAACTTGCTGAGGGTGCACTCAATCCCATGTAGATATCATCAGTAATAGCACTACTGATTTCCCAGACAAAAAGCCTGAACTTCTCTACTGTCTCACATTTTGATCCAAAACTCACATAACTCTTCCTCACTCTCACACCTCAATTTCCTGCTCACTACCTCTCACAGCCTCCCTTTGCAGTGCCCCCAAGTTTTTATATCACCTTGTTCTTCTAAGCATCTTTAACCAACTTTACAATTCCTCATCTGAAGTCCAATGCCATGCTCCCTATTCCTCCAAATTTAGCCCTGCTCTAGTGCTCAAACTGGACATAGAGTGTCTGCAAGCTCCAATACAAAACGTTCACACCTTGATAACTGTAGCATCTCATGCATGCAGTATTTGCCATGCTTTTAACACAAGCAGTTCAGGAACAGAGAGCAGCAACAAGACTGAAAGTCTTCATTACCCCTGAGAACTTCCAGAACTGTTCAATGGACTCGTCTTCATAGCACTAGTAGGCGAAGGCACAGACGTGCTGTTATCACTGTCCATAGACAAGTCTAGGCTGCTGTCATTCAGAGCTGTCAACCTGATCCCTTCTGTCGAATGCTGCAATCCACAAGACAAAAGAAAATTATATTAGTCTTAAGGGCTTAAAAATCAACACAGATTCAAATGATCTAATACCTCAGTTATTCAAAATGTTAGTTGTTACATTTGTGAAGAAAAAAGAAACGAGAGATGATTTAACAGTGATGAGCTTCCACCATGAACTAAGCACATATGCATGCCTTAAATGCAGTTAAATTTAAGTACATTTTTAGGAAAAAAAACAACTTCTAAAGTAGGAGCATTTGAAAACAGAAAACATAAATGGACGATTTTCAAACCCTTTTACATACAAATAATCCACTATCCTGTCATTTACATTTTCATGTTAATGATTCAGGTACAGATTTTTCTGATCCAATGATGTTCAAAAACATAAGATAAACTGTTATTATAATTGGTGATTGTATTTACAGCTTTATTTGAAGTTTCTTTGGTTTTGTGGACTTATAGATACTGTTTTCATTAACTTCAAAGTAATACTGATGTACATCAAAACCACAAACACAACGAATTTAGAGACTGATTTTAACTTAGTCAGTGGAGAAGAAAAACCCTCTTCTGACATAGCACTACTTAAAGAGGTGCATTACTTAATATTTACCTTGTCCTCCGAAACATTATTACAAGCAGATTTACACTTGGTTTCAATACAAGATTTCCTATTCTTTAAAAAAGCAGTTAATATAAAACAGCTATAGTAAAAAAGCATGTTATTCTGATATACCTAAAACAGAGTATATAACAGTGGTTTAGCTACTCACAAAACCAAGCAAATCTGTATTGCTCAGATTAAGCTAACACAAAAGAACCAGGGATTTTGAAATACAGACCAAATTGTTAAAATCAATATTCCACCCCCTTTTTTCTGCCTCCATTGGAAGTAAATCGTACCCAACACAACAGCTCAATTAAAAATTTTCCTACCATTCCTATGTATGGCCACATAGGCCAACTATACATTGAGGGGAAAAATAACCCCGGCTAGGCAATGGGCAACCTTCTGATGTCAAAACTGTCATTTAAATCTTTTAACTAAAAGAGCAAACAATACCAAAAGCTGCCAAGTTGCAGGTTGAAGAATACTTTCCTTCAAATTATCCTCAAAGTATTCAACCTCAGTTACAGCAACAGACTACCATCTTAAATATAAAAAGGCAGCAACAAGTTCAACATTCTACTCTGCTTCTATTTGATAACTTGCAATTTTACATTTAGGAGACTTACAGGAAAATCTAAGTAATAACAACTTAAAAGAGGAAAAAGCTGGAGACAGCAAGAATTACTTGACTGATTGTTCTATTGGTATTGTTACAGGTGCTTCCTTTAGGTGACCTGCATGTTAAAATAGCAAGAGAGCTTTAAAACCTTATTATTACACTGTTTTAAATCTGTTTAGTTTAAGAAGGCCAACAAAATACGATATTTCAGCCAGATCTGAAGATACTATCCACATCGTTGATGTTCTGGGAAATCTAGTATTATATTTAGTGCATCTAGTAATACTGCTACAGTCAAATGAGATCACATTGCTTATACACATAAAACCACGCTTTCAAAGTGTGATTTTAGTTCTTTGATTAGTAAATCTAAAAAGCTGACGAATCATTTCTCAATAGCATTTTTATTGCTTTCAAATATTAGTCAAATTTACCTTTTTCTTTTTCTGAAGCACATGATTGGGTAGCAGTTGGTGAAGTTGCTTACGTTTCACATGCCTTGCAGCAATCTTCATATCCATCTCAAACATCTTGCTGTTTATTGCTTGCCTATAAACTACACAATTAGAATAACATTAAGACATACTGAAGCATTTTGCAAAGTCACTTACTTGCCCAGGCACAAACAATTTGCATTTCAAAACATTTATTACCCTCAAGAACAAGCATAGTGTTTCCTTGTTCTGGAGAAAGTAAGTGAACTGCCTACTATGCCAGCACTGATAGTACAGACACTAAAACGTTACTTTGGAAACAGGTGATCTGTTTTCCAAGAAAAGTATCTTGCAAGCACACAGTTTTAACAGCACAGCTCTGAAGTGAATTCTTCATCAATCTCAAAAAACTAAAGGTAGAAATAAGATTTCCTCATAAGAATTACAGGATTTACATAAAACTATTTTCTTCACAGTTGATTCAGCTTTTATTTATGCAGCTCCTACAACAAATGGGTTCTATTTCAGGAGTTGAATGCTTGTGTGCCAGCTAATATATTACAAATCTTTCTGGCAACTCAGATACGGCTACTGTTTTTTGTACAAAAGCGATTTATGTTTGGTTTTTTTTCTGCTGTGTTTTGGGCTTTCTTTTGGTTGGTTTGCTTTGTTTAGGTTTTTTTTTGTTTGGGTTTTTTTTAATTACATCTACTATAATGAGCTATTTCTCTTAACCTCAGGGCATTTATTTCTGGTGAGTCAACATGCTTAGTGCTAGTAAAGGAACTACACTGCAACCCAACATCTTGGGTTCAAGTAAAGCCAGGTAAAAATGAAAAATTTGTTGTTCTTTCAAACCAACTTTCTATACAATGTTGAACAAAGCTGTGGCAGATGTATGAATAAAAAAATTGTTCTGTAGATCTTGAATACAAAAATTTAAGAGGTTATTTCCCTTATTAATTGTCTATTCTACAAATGTTAAGGAATCTCACTGAATAGGCTGTGAACGTGTAATTAAAAAGCTGTTAAGAGACAGACACACGAAGAGATCAATGAATACTGCACATTAAAGAGCCTACTACACCAACTCTTGGTATTGAAGAAGCTCATAAAGTCTCTGTGTAAAGATTATACAAGTTACAGTTAAGGTAGGGGCATGGTCAGGAAAGCCAGACATGGTTAAAGCATTCCATATTCCTGACATTAGGTCTTACCAAAGTTTCAATACAAGTAAAACCTAGCCCACTCTTCATGGCTCACTTCCTCCCCCTGCTCCCACTAAAAAGTTATTCCTTAATTTCATTCTTGAAAATGCTTCGGTAGTTTTGATAAAGTCTTAGGATCTATTCCAAAAGACAGGACAGAAGTTTTCGAGATGAATTAAAAATGACAGACCCACATTAATTTGAGATGACAAAGAAACACACACCACACAAACAGAAACTGTTTGCCAGCTGGTTACCTTTGGAAGCGTATTTACAAATTTAACAGAAAACTATGCATCACAGTTTACAAATATTTTGATGAATGCCACTTCCTTTAAAATTGCATATATTTAGAGAAATTTCATATTTGAATGTAGTGCAAGTAAATCAGATTCAAAATCATAAGCGCAAGTTTTAGTATTTTTATACCAAAAATCTGACAAATGCACTATTGAAATATCTGTTTATAAACAATAAAAGACCTGAGAAACTGTAATTCCTTCACTCCTTTAAAACAGCAGCTAAGGTATTATGTCTTTTCTAAATTCTCAAAAATTAGGACGATGTGTCCATAGTTGTGAGAGACTGAAAGAGTTAATGTCTCAAACATTGTGGTGGGGCAAGTTCTGCTTAAAGACAAACCCTGCACGGCAAGGAACCAACCTGAAAAGCCCATCAGCTCAGACATCAGCAACAGGAGGGGGAGGGCGTGCTGGAGGGTGCCCAGCTCCCTGTTCTGATAAGCTGTTCTGATGCAAAGATCAAACCATGGCCACCTCTGCAGGGAAGGAGAAGTTACTCTGCAAATGACCCCCAAGCCCAAGGGCTCACAAACTTCTCATTAGCCTGACAAGTTCGGGTGCCCACCCGAAGGAGGAGCAAGGATGATAAAAGGACACAAACTGAAGCCCCGGGTGCGCAAGCCCACCGGGACTGGACTCCTCGGCTGACTGGACCAACACTGGACCCAGGACAGGTGGAACCTTTCTCTCTCTGTCTTTCTCTCTTTCCTTTTTCTTTTCCACAATCCCTACACCTCATCCCTTTAAGACATAAAACCGCTGACCAAGTCTGGGACTAAGAGTAGATCTAGCCGCCCCTAGACCCTTCTCTGAGGAGGAGTCTGGAAAGCAAGGGGGTCTGCTCTGAACCTCGTGACTCAACGGGAGGGATCTCCTTATTCCCTGAATTGATGTATATGGTTATGTGGTTTACAGAAGTAGTCTTATGCCAATTCCTGTTGTGAGAAACCCTGCCACCTGCTACCACGCCTCCCCAGTTCCATTTGCTTCTGTCAGGAATAAAATCTTTAACTGATCATTTGGTGTCCTTTCACCTTAATTTAGCCTGAGGGAATTTCGAATTGAACATGACTGCCTGGTCTGTCCAGACTGGGTCATGATAATAGTTTCACCTTCACTATGTATAATCAAAAGCAATATTCCACCTCTTTTAAGAAAATAAAAATCCATTTGACTGAGAAAGGCAGATATATATATATACACACACACACACACACAGACTCCCCCACTGCAGCTATGTATGACAATAAAGAACTTTCAAACCTTGGCATGCTTTATTAGGAAAAAAAAAAAAAAAAAGGCATATTATATTCACTTATACACCCACACCAGGGGGAGGGTGGAAGGGGTGTACAATTTCCTCACTTCCAGTCTTACTGAGTCTTAGAAGTCCAGAGACCAGAGTTGCATTAGGTAGCACTTGAACCTATTCGTTTAACTCTGTAAACACATAATACTTGAGCCTTAACTGTCATTTGTTCAAAAAAACATATTGAAAATTTATTAGATAAGTCTGTCAAAGGTACTGCTCCTTTCTCATTCTTAGAGTCTGGAGAGTCACACTCTCCAGCTGTCACCAATTCTTTGTTTACAAATTTCTTATGCATGTTCTAAATTATTTTTGTGAATCAAAAAGTAAACAGTGGAACAAGTCAAAAATTTTCTTGCACTGAGTCTTGGACGTGAAAGTAAAAGTTACTGAACCAACTAGCTAGTATGGAACGCCATGGAATAAAAGGCATTTTGTTCTAGAGTCTACTAGATACTCAGCTTTAATCCACCGATAAATGCAGTTTCATCAAGTAATAAAAGTATTTAAACTATACACATATTGTCAAAATGAGGTTAGGCTAGGTAGTTTGCATATGACAACCAATTTGTCCGTTTAATAAAGATCACAACGTAATGTATCATTTTTAGTGATATCTGAAAGATTTGTGTGCATCATTTTAATCAGTTTTAATAGAAACAAACTGAAAATTATTAGTTTTGAAGTGTCCAGAAGCATTAAAACTCATTAAAACTGTATTTCATTAAATAACACCCTAACTCCTTAGCTGAACCCTTCTACTCTGTATCTAGCTACAATTCTACTACTGAAACAGACTATGTTATGAACAAAGACAATAACTTCAACAAGTTTATTAATACCAGAACATCTGGAAAGCAAAACTTACCTGTGTCTGTAAAAGACTGAATGTCATAGGTAAGATCAACACTTAAATTTTCAGAATTTTCTGTCTTCTTAAACACCAACCCAATCACCCACATTGTACGGTATTCTTCCCTGAAAAATTTTATATAAAAACCACTCATATAATACTGACAGAAGAACTGAATAATCTAGTAAGTTATCTGCTACAATAGACAACAGTTGTACATTTTAGGACCACTAGCAACAAGGAGCTAGCCACAGAAAGGCAAAAAACAAAGCTGATTAACAACATTCCCTTTTCATTCGCAATACAAAAAAAGTCATGAAACACTGACACATCTATCTCCAGCAAACTTAATGAACTAAGACCATGAGTAGATTACTTCGTCCAACTGTGCTTCTGTATAGACTCTCTCTTTTTTAGGAGTTACAACTAGCCATCACAACTGTAAAGGAAATAGATTTGAAAGGAGATGACAGATTTTCAGCACCTGACCCTGAAAGTAGTTAGAATCTATTCCCTGACTAAACAACTTACATTTTGCCATCTAAACTTGTCTTCAACTCTCAAATTTCTCAGCTGTAACTGACCACAAAGTATAGTTTTCAGGTAAGAATAGCCACCCTTTGACAGCTCACCTTCACATAATATACATGGAAGATTAACTACTATATTCTATTACAGAATACAGTGCAACAGTTCTATAGCAGCTCAAGACATTTAATGTTTTAATTCAAATGTCTTTTCCATGTATGACTATTTCAGAAGAACACTGTTTTCCAATCAATCAAGGAACAAATTTAGGCAGGCAGGTAAAAGACCACACATTATTTACATTGGGCAAATGACTTTTCCTAAAAGCGTTGCCCGCATCAAGTTCTCTGAAATAAAAGCTAATCATAGCCTATGATTATGCAGGTAGTTGTAGCTGTATTTACCCACTAAAATGGTGCTGAAGAGGTACTGCCTGCTTTTGTCCAATTTCACTTGGAACATGCATGTAATTTATGTACAGAACTTCAAAAAAAAAAGGTAGCACCATACTGTCACTTGAAGCAGTTGATGTCTGGAAAAGGCTTTGTGGAAGGTAAATAAGGCTTTTCACATATTCCCAGTGAAGAAAAAAATTTCTTCCCCATTCTCACACTTCACACAAAAATATGATTCCTTACAAGTTAATTACAGTACTATCTAGAAAATAAAGTCTTAAAAAGAGTTTTTAGCCCCCACACCTGCAATTACTGTTTTGAGTGGGGGAGAATGGGGTGGGAAAGTTGAAAAACATATATAATCCTAAACAATTTCAAGTGCTTGATATTTTCTCCACTGTTTCCACATCATGAGCAATTCTACCATCAGCCATTATGAAGTTTAAATGATACGCATCCCAACTGCTAAATTTAATAACATTAAATATATTTAGTTACTCAAGATTTCAGTTCTCCTGTGCTTGATGTTCTACCCAATTCACAGTGCTGCCTCAGAATTAAAATTGTCTGACCAGCTAAGTAGCAGTAGCTAACACGGATTATTGGCATGAAATTATACAATTAATACAGTTATTAGCAAAAATATATTCTTTCTTTAAAGCTATTTTCTGGCTTAGAAACTTTCTTATACAGAATAAAGACTATCTAATTTTGCAAATAGTACCTGAGAAGAGCTTAAAACTAGTTTGCCTTTAGATGCTGTCATTAAAAATTAAACCATTTAAGATTCTATTAAAATGCTAGTTTATTTATTAATGAATTAGTATTTTAGCTAAGTTAGTTCCTCACCATTACATGAAAAAAACATTTTGCTTACTTGTCAGGATTCTCCTTGGGTGCTGGGAATGACTGTGGATTCACATGAGCCAGTGTAATGAATTCATTCTTCTCCAGGTTTCCAACTAGAATACGGATTTTTGATTCCACCAAGCCCACCCTGCATAAATGTCATTTATTAGCAAGTTCTCATTAATATGAAATAATAGAAGTATCTAACATCATATATCAGGATAAAACCCTCAACATTCTCCTTATACTAATATTTGAGACTACAAATGAACTAGTGCACTATACATGACAGATTAATTCAGATCAATAAACCAAGTGAATGTGTTATGTTAGTTTTTGTAAGGGAAGCTTTAGAATGCCCTGAAGCTCTCATTATGGCCCGATTTTACAAATGGAATTAAATAGCAAGATGTTACACATCAAGTAAAAGGCAGTCAGCAAGAAATTCCTACATATTTCTCCAACACTCTTTTGGCTTCAGATGATGAATTTTAAAGTTGAATAAATTCCCAATACCTGACAATCTTAAAACTTCCCTAATAAAAGAGAGCAGAAACAAGGGAAAGAGGCATTTTTGAGAAACAGTATTTCAAAAAAATTGAAAACATACCTCTTCACACTGCTTATTAAAAAAAAAGTACATAAGGCTTAAGAAAATAAGATTTTTAAAGTGAACCTGACAGTGCTGTAAAGAAGCAAAATTGAAGCAACAGCCTTCACTCCCTTGTTCTTCATTCTTACTGTTTTTCAGAAGTGTACCATCTTCATCCATTTAATTTTGAAACACTGAAGCTCCACTTTCTTCCAATAAAAAGATACTAGACACACTAGATATTCCCCTGCATCCAAGGTTGACAGGTTTTTGTTTGTTTTTGTTGGTTGGTGATTTGTTTCTTTTAAATAGCAAGCATTATACTCACCATTCTAGTCGCTGTTTTTCTGTCGGTGCGCTTGCTAGAAGTACAATATAATGCCTTTGGAGATAAAGACAATATGCTATTCTATTTATACTTCTAAAACTAGACATTCAAACCTTAATATTAAAACTTTGCAGTAAGTTCTACATTGCAAACTACAAATTATTAGCTTAAGTATATACCCTACAATAAAATGAAGCATTCTTAAGTAGACAAAGGGGCTATGTCCCCCAACCGTGTGACTAATGGACTTCTCGAAACAGTTTGTATTTTGGGGACATTTGCAACTATACTTTAATACCAGTAACCTTAATAAAAGGCCAGGAACATAGCACTAATTGGAAAACAGTACAGATATTTCAATACCTAATGAGGGATTTAACTGACTACTAGAGATTCCTTTCAAGTAAAAACAATTGTTCACAAACATCTATACATGTCAGTTGTCTTAGTCACAACAGTATTTCTGAATAGTTAGAAGAGTGGTTAGCACATACGCATTCGTTCAAAGTAAGAAATAACACCATCAAAAGTGGTTTAAAAAAATTTTAAATCTGCATTTGAGAATTGTCAGAAGACACTTATCTGAAACTTCACAAGGAATGTTTCCTCTGATGGTAATTCTTAAGCTCTCAATTATATTCCAGGATAATCAGTGTATACCCACTGTAAGTAAATTTCAAAGAAACAGTATACAAAGCAAGAATGGTATTTTAAACAAAGAAGCCCTAGGACAGTGGAATGGGAGATGATTATTTTGAACTTGAGTTCATAATGAGGAAGGTGGGGGAACCTTACACATCTACAGTCAGGTTTTTCAGAAGTTTAGCTGGGAAGTCTATTTTAACATCTTAAGTCATCCAACTTAGCACTACTCTATACTGATATGGTATATTTAGGTACCTTCAGAGCAGGATTTAAAGAACAGTAGTAACATGAGGGATTAGACCCTAGTACATATACCTCAGAAAGAAACACAAGGTCAATGATAGTGGAAAAACTATGGTGCAAAAAGAGTCCTCTGATGCTACAGGCCTTCAAATTGTAACAGTAGATCCAAATCAACAGATCAAATCAGTAACTACATGTTTCTGTACTTATCTTTAGGTGGCTAGGGAATTTTATCTACTTTTTTTTTTTTTTGCATTTTGGCAGTATTAACTGCTTCATACAAAAACATTAAGTAGTTTTTCCTGTTATCTTATTGAAATCTTCATTTTAGTTACTTATAGCATACCATGACTCAATCATTTACATTTCTTGAAAAAAAATAAAATAAGGGTCCTTTACTCAAATTCTGTATGAGAAGTTATTAATTTCTAATATCTCTTTCTTCTAAGGAACACTAGATACACAGCGATCATCCATAAGATTCCTACGTCATACATACCACACACTTGCAGAATGTTTCATTTAGTAGGGAAGACAACTTAAGCTTTTTATTGTTTTTAACCATGTATGAACTGAAAAAGACAAATCTCAAATCTGCAAGTATTTGAAGAAACTCATTTTCCAGTTACTTATTAAAAGCAGCTCTTTGAAACAAACTTCTGAAGAACAATTCAAAAAAATTGACTGGCTACGTCTAAAAGCCTCAGCTAGGTGGTGAGCACCTAGAAAAAAACTTAATCCTCATTTATGAAAATAAGTCTAATGATTAGCTATTTTTGCTCAGGTAGTGCTAGCTGAAAAAGAAAGAAAAGGAAAAGATGCAATTTCCCCCCTTCCCCCCAACTGTTAAACAGTGCTGAGAGGGAATTAATCACTGGAAATCTGCTATTGCCATTTTCAGTAAAACTTAAATAGCACAAGCTGTTAAAAGTTAAGACATACTTAGTTTTAGAGTCCAAGGTCTCACTGCTAAATTTTACAAAGACAAGATTTGTTATCAGTTCTTCATTCATAATTTTATCACAAAGAATATGTCTAATTCAGAAGCATCCATTACTTCATGATAAAGAAAAAAAAAATCTGAAGTTAACCTTCTACCTCTCAATTGTGATTTTTAGATGCAGGATATTATTCTGAAGTATATGGGTTTGGTCTTTGGGGGGTTTTTTGTTTGGTTGGTTTGGTTTTTTTCTAGAAACTGGTGCTGTTTCTCTCCCACTGTCTCCCTATCAGCATTATGTAGATATTATGTAATTGTCTTACACCACTAACATCTGTACCTACAAAAAAAAAAGTTTGTGGTTTAACTTTTTAAGAGTTATACTACTTTCTGAAAAAACTGAGAACACCTGAACATGTTCATTTCAATTTTTCTTTATTAAGCTGTCCAGGATTTACACTTTAAATTCTTCAGTGCTTTAGATAAAGTCCTATCAAGGCAAGCGTTCAAAGTACCTTTTTAAAAGGTATGTTTATATTCTACTTATTTAGCAGGATATGTCTTTATAACAGAGAAACAATACGCTAGAGCTCATTAAATGAGTGTTATCTCATCATCATACTTTCCTCTGTGGTTTTAAGCTCTAATAATTTCATTCTCATGTAACGCTCCATACTCGTGTTATATCCATATGAAATTATTGTCATTTCCCTGTAAAACACCATATCCAGCAAGTATATGTTCTTTGTTGTTGTTTCCCCCACCATCGGAAAAATTAAAACCCACAAGAAGGGCAGATAACACATGCAACTCCCTAACTCCAAGTAATTGTTGACACTAAAAATAAGTAAAAATGGATTTTCCCATTCTCCCAATTTCTAATGGGCTCCTGCCATGCAGTAGCCTCCAGATTTCCTTAGTCACACATCATTGAAGTTTATTTTAAACACAGCTAACAACTCAAAAGTGTTTACGATCAACATAGATGTTTAGCAGCTAATTGCCATTGAGAGTGATACAGATTACTAAAACTATGCTTTCAGAGAACAAAATAAATGTTTTTAAAAGTATGTCTCAGAGAAAGAATCAGATCTTCTCTTATCTGGCAGAGCACTACATACTGCTTTGAATTTCAGTATGAAAAAGTCAAGACATCTACAATTTAAACAGGAGGATATTGCGAGGGGAAAAAAATCTGAAACATCTAGCTTTCAGATGGAGATTTGATCAACAGAGCCACATTTATTGCATACTGATGACTGCATAGAATGCTTTTATTAAGATTACTAACCAAAGCTTTAAATTAACTTACTAAGGTAAAACAGACAAAATCTTGGGTAATTTAAATTAAAGCAGGCTCCATAATACCATTCCACAGTTTAAAAAAAAAAAATTAAAGCATTTTGTGCAAAACATACAAACCCTGGATATTTAATGTTGTCAAGAGAAGCTTTTATTGCTAAAACTGATAAAATGGCTAAAGCAGGCACACAAAAAACGATATTAAAATGGAGATTATTTCAAATGACACTTAAGTGTTTCCTATTTTTTCCTGATTTTGAAAGAAAGAAAATGTACTAGGGAACTTATTAGCAACCTCTTGAGCAGAAACTTATTTGTCTGCACCCATTTTTAACTTCAAAAAATAATATAACTTTACAGTGCTCTTTTAAGTGTTTTCAAACTTAATCTCCAAGGTACAACATAAAAGCCATCCAAATGTTTTAAAGCTTTTATCATGCAAAAGGTATAGAAACAAAACACAGACACATTATGAAGGTCATCAGTCTCTTTTAATGGGGGAACTGTATATTTCAATCTTTTTTAGATTAGTACATAACCAACCAACCACCCAACACAGAAACAAGTGTAAAATATATTTGATCTTGATTCAAGAAAAATGGGTCTCCAATTTCAACTGAGGGCAAAGAAGATGTAGTCCGTATTTTAATAATCCATATTTATTATAAAAATACAACTTTCAGCAAGTCCATATACATTTAACAAGCTTCTGCCCCACAAGCATATTACTAGAAACCCTAAATATGTGAAGTATGAACTTCAGTATTTCCCTTAGAGACATTACAAAATTAGAGAAACTAGGTGTGAAAGATTATTAATAAAGAGCCAAAAGCCTTAAGCTTTAATGAAAAAATCTAGTAATAACTAGTACATCTGGCAGTTAGTCAACACAATTGCAAAAATATCTTTTATTATCAGAGTGAACTGTTGACTGTATTGACAGAAGAAAACACACAGTTTCATGTACGTATTCATCTTAAATAGTGACCTTCAGAATTAGTTCTTTTAATATCTTGTTTCCTGGGAGGCAAGACCCATTTTTAGAATGCTTACTGACACCACTAAAGAACATTTCTGTTAGTCAAACCAGCTGATATGTCTTCAATTTTGTTGGTAGCATACCAATTGTATAGTTAACTGGTGACATTCTAAATATCTGGTCAGGGACTAACAGGTTTCTGAAATACATGCTAAAGACAGTAAAAAAAATAGTATCTGAGGAAATCATTGATTTTCTAAGAGAAAGCACAATAGCGCATTCACTCCCCCTCTGTGTAAAGAAAAAAATCCTAAAAAAAACCACTTTTGGGGAGTCAAATATATGTATATTTAAGATCCTGTGCTACAGAGCATCATTAGATATTTTAACTGATAAAACTTAAAATATTCTGCCATGCCATAAAATACATACTTGTACTTTTGAAAGAAGTTTGGAGCTTCAAAAAGTTTGGACCACTCTGCCTTACTCAGCAAAATTTCATCTGTGATAGCAAGACCTAAATTATAAAAAAACATTTAAACTTTTTTTTTTAAATACAGTTTAGTACCCAGAGTAAAAACAGCTTATTAACTTAGCAAAGGTTACTACAAATCATTTCCCCCCTTCAAATTCAAAGGAATTTATCAACAAGCTTTATATTCCAGTCATACCTTAAGTGGTCATTAGTTATACAAATCACATTATTAAAAAGAACCTCAATAAAATACATTTAGAAATGTATGCTAATTGATCAGACTGATGATTTCATGTATTTTTGCTTTGCACTGTAACACAGCTCAACTTAATCTTTTGTGTATGCCACAGTAAGTACTCAGTCCAAAGAAGATAGAGATCTTTTTCCTTGCAGTGCTTTAGTCATCTCTTGCGCAAGGCATTGTACAAGGCAAATAAACAGCGAGACAATAAGCTACAGCTCTGCCCCAGAGAGCTACTGGTAGTTGCTCTCTGCATCAAGTCTACTCCTTGCTTTGATAACATCTTCTCTTATCTACTATAATTATCCAAGTAGATTACTAGGATAAATCTAGAAGACTCATCTCTGAGCAAGTATATTGTCTTACGTTAGGCCTAGAAACAGCCATCAAGTGGGATTACTACACTAATCTTCATGTGGCATGACACAACCTAGAGCCACTAAAATAAACAAGAAAAAGATACTGCACCACTAATTCTCATTTTCAGAGCACAAGGCATTCTAATTAATTACCCTCAGTTTCTAAGAGTGAAGGACAGATCTGCAGAAGTCTACTGAATTTGGAACTTCAAGCCACATAAGCATAACAGGCCAAGTTCTACCTCCCTCGGAAGACAATCTCATGTCAAGAAGCTATTTAACATCCTCCCACCTCCCCCCTCACAGAGCATACCCACAATGGGACTATTTTAAATCTGTTTGAAAACATTTATATAGAGAGCATAAGATAATACTTACCTTGTTTAAATTCCTCAACCATGACCATCCGTGTGGAAACGGAAACATTGTACGTAGAGTTCTGCTGTGGGTATGCTGGTGTTATTATAGGCATAAGATGGTACCTATCACTGGGGTTTACCTATATATAACAACAGCCAATCAGTTTTCTTCAAGCACACACATGAGTTAAAAAATTTGGATTTCTCCCTTCACTAAAACTGAGTCTTAAATTCTAAGACCTTAGTTTGCAGACCAAGTAAATTTACCAACAGTTCAGAGAAAGTTTAGAAAACAAGGATAATGCTTTCACAAAGGACATCATTCTGAACCACAGTGATGTGGGAGGGCTGTAATCTGCCAGCACATCAAGATCAAGTTGCAGGCATTTCTAAGTCCAGAAATGCCAACTGAATAGAACAATTTCTCTCTTTAATAGAAATTAGCTTGTGATCACATCAAAACAAGGATACCTTATCACCACACAAGCACCTTCAGAAGAATGACTGTCTTCAGACCTTGCGAAAAATATTTCGTACTTTATTTCTGTAAAGCTACTGAGAATAGAGCCAGCTTAAGATGAGAGGCTCTAGGCAACCTGACAGAAGCATTACATGCGTTAACATATCTTTTATTAAACAGCACACAAGGAAACAAAAAAGAAGGGACACAACACACACACAAAATATGTTTAAAATAGCATTAAGGTAGCAATCTTGTAGATGGTAAATTAAAGATAAAACCCTGTCATTAACTTACCCCACTTTGTTTAGCTACTACAACACAGACAGTTCCCATCACACACTGACCTCAAACCCCCTATCCCAGGAATAACAGTAAGACTCAAGAACACTTTTTCAACTGTCTCACATTATTTAAACGTGCACTTTTGTCAATGAGAAAAACAGATTTGAAGTACAAAAGGGCATACCACTCAACATCTGGTGCTTACACTATTCACCAAAATAGGATTAGTTGAACACCAACTATTCTAGAATTGACAAAACAGCATTGAACACATTCACACTATACCCCACTGAAACCTCAGAATGTGAGCTGTGCATCTGCTTCAAGCTGTTTTATTGACTGCCTGAAGGACATTAATGTCCAATGTTAAGTGCTACAAAGATGGAGACCAGTTATTATAAATAATATACAAAATAACTGAAAGACTTCAAACTACGATCTTCTTTGGTCCAAGATGAAAATACACATTGCTACAACTATATGAAACTGAACCTATCCAGCTATTGACTACGGCACTGAAGTGAATTCAATATACTTGCAAAAGTAACAGGTTTTAAGTTCAAAGCAAACTGTTTTAAGATAAGCAGTTTTTCAAAAATGCATTGCTTTAAAGCGCGTAACTAATTATGCTGAATATTTATTAAGATCACTTATTGCATAAGTTGGGAGTAGAAAAGTACATTGTTCAGCAAGTGTGCTTCAAGCGGTCAGTTCAGAAAATTAAGCTAATTTTGTTCCACACTCAGGAGAACTACAGGTTACCTATAAAGACGACATAATACCAAAATATTAAGTTTAATAAACCCATAATGAAGTTCACCTAGGATTCTTTAAGCAACTGAATTTATTGTACAGTGTGACTTATAGGGGAAAAAATAATACACTAACCCTTGGGTCCCATACAGGCAAATTAAGATTGCATTCTTCTGGCTGTTTCAATAGCACTGGATTTGGCCATTCCCTGTTCAAAAAGATTGTAGCACTGAATAAGACTATTGGATACAACCATGTATGTTCAACAAACAATACTTTTGAATGTGATCCTTCTTAACTCTGCTCTCCAGGTAAAGCATCATTTCCTCAAGACTAAGCTGGTCTAACTGGGGTTGTTTAAATTAGATGTATTGCTGAACTACAATACAGTTGTAATTAGCTTCTCCGGGGCACCAGAACAATACATTTTCTGTAGTCTTGGAGCTTTATATAAACAATGGCTTAGGAAACTAAAGTAAACTCCTCTAAATTCATCTTGAAATATACCTATCAAAGAGAAATTTCTCTATGAAGATTGACATTGGGTCCATCTTCAAGCTAGCTGTTTCATGGACAAACTACAGAAGCAGCAGCTAGCATGATTACAGCATTATAGTATCATTACAAAGCATATGTATTAAAAAAAATCCAATCAAGACAAAAAGAAACCATGCTTAATAAGACACTGGAAAAAAAAAAGTAACATAACACTTCTTTTCTTCAAGTTGTCTCTACTCCCATGAGTAAAGTTATCTTCCTATAAAGAGCAGAAGTCAGTTAATCTCTCGGTATTTGTACGTTAATGGTCCTATGCTATGAATATATAAAAGGGACAGCAGTATAAGGAACACATTAAACAGAGCTTGCAACCAATGTTCCTCTACTAGCTTGGTGTGGCAAGATATTACTAAACACTAGGTACCTCAAAGAGGCTATAAAGCTTATGGATTCAAGACAGCGGCACTGTGGAAATTATCTTCATGTTAAGAAGGAAAGACACTATACTTGAAACAAAGCAACAACTTGGTACAATGATTCTTAAAATCTGTCAATGTCTCATGAAGAATATAGGTATCCAGACATGCTCTTTCAAGAAACAGTATTCATTTGTAATCTGCAAAGTACACTTTTGTCCCCTTCATTCTAAATTTAACTGGAATGTTCCCATTGTTCCCATCATAGTTACTGAAACCACCTTTCTAAGTAACTAGCTCAGAAGTAAGAAACCATATGTAATTCCAAAACACCTAACCTCTCCACACCGACAAGATTAAAACCCACAATTTTGGCACTGGTTCTCCTGAACTACATTTAAGCTATCCTTTTCCCATTATCCAAATATTAAGACTAAATTTTGGGGTGTCTGCTTTTATTTGTACTAAATATTTTATCTGAAGAGTAATGCTGAGTTACAACAAATACTTAAGAAAATTTTAATTAAAAACAGGGCGGTTTTGTTTTGGATACTTTAAAAACATGATAGGTTGGATGACTTATTGAAAAACTCAAGCTAACAACTTCCTGGCAGCAAGAACAATGCTTAACTACCATCTGAACCTAGGTAAGAGCTGAAAATGGTACCATAAAAACAGGACTAAAATTTAGTGTCTACAAACAATTTTATTTTAGTGTAATCTAAATTTAAAAAAAACAACAAAAAAACCAACAAAAAAAACATACCATTTAGAAAATACCAAGAAAAATTTATGTACAAGAGTTGATGCTATTGCATTTGGATAAAGCTGGCAAGTTCTTGCTACTAGCATAGCCCAGGAAACACCGCCAAGGAAACCTAGTATATTGGAATAGATGTTGTGGCCTGTGGATTGAGAAGGAAAGAGACAAAAAGAGAGAGTTATCAGTAACTGTAAGAGTTAATGAAAATTTCACAAATTTTGGAATAAAACTGCTTACGTTTTGCCCACAGTTTGATAGCTCTCAGTGTTAACCTGAAGTTGTCAATGTTTGGTACTAGATGCAGAATTTCATCGGTTACCCGGCAACCTGCCAAAAGAAAGAATCCATTACGCTTGCTGCCTCCAAAGTTTTTTGCTTGCTTAACCTCCCTCACCTTAAAACCTATCAAACTTTTTAGATCAGTATGCTGGAAACTCATTTCCTATTTTGATCACTTCTGTTTTGAATTAGAAAGTTTAACATACTTTCATCTGATTTTTTTTTTTCTTTTTTTTACTGTTTTACAGAATGACTCAGGAAGACAATTCATGCACACATAGTTACAGTTTTGGACTGCTACTTGATTTTCTGTTATTAATGAACTGTACAAGCTTTTTAAGAAACAAACAAGTTTTAAGTTCTGCTGTTAAGGGATTATATGCAGTAAATCACAGACATGAAGACAAATTTAAAAAAGCATGAGTCTTCATGGACCTACAGAAAACCTGGAGGTCACAGGTCAAACCTTTGCTTGAATTTATGAGAACAGGCTAAAAAGAATAGTTTTTAACGATACAACTCATATGTTTACATTGATGGGATATTTTCAGGCTTAATAATAATATTACTGATGACAATATTAACTGCTTGATTTTTATTTTTTTTAATCAAGAATAAGTAGCTGTTCATTGTTACTAAATAGTTGCAGAGACCTGGTTGCAAGAAAACAGTATTATCTAAGACTAGGAGGTTCCTTTCAAAGCGAGTAAGAGGCAAGAATGAGTTCTAGAGACTGCACAAACGTGAATTTCACAAAACAGTGCAAGTTGCTGTGGTAATCTCAAATTATCAAGTTTTCAGTTCATAACAGAAATCACCGATAGCTCACATGCTCCTCTTCCCCGCCAAGTTGCATATAGGCTGAAGCCCCTACCATCCCATGCATAAATAACCATTTTTTTAAGCTGCAGTATTACAGAAAAGTTAAGGGTTACACAGGCTGGTAAACTACTAAAGACCTGACCTCAAATTCACAGTATTTTGATATCCCCAATTTATCACTGAAGCAATTTTGTGTATGTTTATGCATATTAACACACATACAAGTTAAAAACATGCACACATCTTTATTTATAGAAATAGACAGTGCTCCACACAAAAGTCTTGCAAGTCCCATTAATTTCTAGGCAGCACCATTTACTACCCTAATAAAAGACAAAAATTTTTATATATCTGGCCAACAAGAAACAACCCTTCTCTCCAAAAAGATATATAAAACTGGCTATGACTCCATTTCCAAATACAGAGTTGCTGTATCTTCTGTCAAGTTCACAACTACCGTATCAAACAACCTAGGATACTTATTAAAAATCAGATGAGAAGTTTATATGCAAAACTATATACATACCATTAAGACTTCGTATGCATCTAATGTCTAAATTTTTAAGTAGGCTATCATCTCGTAGGTCTAAGTCCTCAGGAATAGTTTGCAGTGCTAATCTTGCAAACAGAATATCAATCTTAAAAAAAAAAGAGGCAAGACATTAGAAAACTGTTCTTTATTCTGTAGAATTAATTCTGCAAGCCATTTTCATCAAGTTCACTAATAATAAGAACAGTAGTCTTCCTAGCACAAAGAATCTCTTTAAACAATGCATACTAACACCCTTCACAGACATTAAAAGGAACACTTTCAGATGCTTCATCCATCTTATAGCTCCTTTTCCAAGAGGATAAAATACAAATTAAGATCAACACAGACCTGGCACACACACAAAAACTATGTCGACTCTCAACGTAAATAAAACATTTGGGGACAAGCACCACTTCTAAGTCCACACTACAAAATTCTACTACATCAGAGCAAGTCATGAAAACATAACCTAGTTTTAACCTAAATATTCTCAAAATTATCACAGAATTACAAAAGAAGTAGGAGACCTTTCCTTTACAGACCTTGCTGTAAAGCACAACAGCAACTAGTTGCCTCTGTATAGGACCGCTACCTATGAAAAGCGTGCATATCTGATTACAGAAAACAGGAAGTTCTGAAAATCTATAAAGCTACTGAGAAAGCATATAAATTTGTATAAATTTTGAAATTCTGTCAAACTTCTTTGTTATTACTTCTGCAATAATTTGTCATCATAGCTTTTCTAGGTGAAGAACGTCTAAGATACTATTCAGCACTGAACTAGAGTTTTATGCTGTCTCACACACAGCAAGGACATTACACAGAGTACAGAAGTCAGTTTGCCATTCCAGTCTTGGATTAGGTATCAGTCAGTATGATGAGAATATAAAGTGTGTATTAGTGGCTGGTCTGCTAGGCATCAAGCCCCTTTCACCAGATAAGGCTTTTAATCATCATAAACTGATACCACTTCACCTACGAGACAATGAAATACCTAGTGCTACTGCATCAAGAACAAAACAATTTTAGTTACATTAAAATTATTTCAGACGAAATGAAGCTGAAGATATTTTAAAATGAAGAACTTCTCATAGGTGCCTAAAACTTTGCATCTATTTTAAACTATGAAGCACTTCTCCAAAGAAAAGTAATTTCTAAAGTATTCAGTGCACTTTTGATTTCAAAGTCTTTAATAGCTGGTCTTAACCACATTCTGTACTACAAGAAGTTTCTACTAAGTTTAATGTACTACTTTTCAATGTAAAACAAGTTCAAAATTAAATTCAGCTTGAAGTTCTATTCTTATCTCTAGAAGGTCTAGCACCTCTAAAGATTCAAAGCTCATTGACAATAAAAGGATTTTTCAAATCAAGAAATGAATAGCCTGTCCTATGTCTTTTTTCGGTGGGGGGGGCAGGGAGGAATCAATTTTCTACAGTAAGAACAAAAAAAAAAAATCAAGAACGTTCTTGTTTGTTTTAAGCAAGAACATGAAGTGTATATGTAAAAACTGGTATTGGCAGAAACTTCTGAAGTTTAACTGATAGCATCACCACAAAACTGAAGTCCTTTTCCTCAGTTCTAAGGTTTTCTCTACAAAGAGAATAACTTCTGATACCTTTTGCCTGGATTAGGAAAAGGAAAATTAAATTAAGATCTTCTGATACTGACATACTGGACACAAATGCAACCACCTGAAATTGTGGCCTAACAACACCTGTATGTATAAAGAGTGCTTATGATAAGTTAGTGTTCAAGACTAGAGAACTCTCATGCACTGTCAGCAACACTGGTTAAGTCTCAGTCAAAAACCTAAGCCATCAGAGACCATTATAAATTACTATACTGGAGCAAGATACTACTATTATAGCAGACAATCCTTTTATTTCCCTATTTGGGTTTGTATTTTGAATATCTTTTTTTAAAAAGGAGAGACAACACTAGCTTGAATGTAAAAGACTGGAAAAAACATACAAACCCCAGACTAACCAGAGGATGCCTTAAGGCAAGTTTCAATATTTAGAATGGATACCTAAGCTATGTAAACAGAAAACAGGTTCTCCAGAAAAATGTTCTTAACACCCAACTAAACATGGACAGTAATAAAATGGCTGACACAAACGCAAAGTCACAGGCTAGCTTACTGCATGGCATCACATTTCTCTGCACGTCTCTCTCATTGGAAGAAAACACATTTCTGCCTAAGTGTCAACTGACACAAATGTCAGTGAAAATACAAATAAGTAAAGCTGGATGGATGAGGGCAAAGGGGGTGGTTCATCTTCCTGATACTCAAAAATCACCAGTATCATAACTAATGACCATTATAACTGCAAGGCAGACATTTAACTCAGACTGGAAGAGAAGGAACTGTACAGTCTTGCATACAATACCTCAGCTCCTCAAATCATGTCATGTGTCACAAGATTAGCATGGGAATTCTTTCCCCACTGTGAAGTACCCTTTTTATACAGACCAGTTACTGGCTGATATATTCCAGCTACAAGTCTGATGAACTGTGTGTATGAACAGTTCGTATGTTTTTGTCTTGTCACCAAGAAAAGATGATAGGTTGACTATAGAAGAGTCTGAGAAAAATTAACAGAGTATCTTTTGAAAGCAGTGTTCCTGTTTTCTTGGCAACTTCTCCCAAAATAGTAAAAATTAAGTTAAGCAAGTTAATCACTCCAAGGCAGATGATACATCAGGCTACAGACACCAAAACCATTGTTTTGGTTCTGTATTATAGACATCTGAAGAGATCAGAACAAAGGGGATACCCAGTTTGCCTTCAGCGGTACATTTTTGAGAGCAGATCAAAGATCACACAACTTCCGACAGCATAAGGTACTGAAGCAAATCTGAATTAAGGTTTGAACAGTTAATCATTAGCAGCCAAAAAATTATTGAAGCCACATTATTTATGAATATCATTTCTATTAAATGTTAAGTCTTAATAATGCCAATACTGGTACTCTACAGGTCAGTAAACTAATCAGTACAACTGGGTAGCAGTGCCTAAAAAAGAACAGGGAGATACTCTACATGCAGTTTTAAGTACATTAAGAAAGACTTGTTTCAGTCTTAAAGCCCCTCTTTAAATTACACAGCTGAGGACTGTTGCCAAGGACTTGAGTATGAACTTAGAGTCACCTTAATAGCATTCATATTAATAAATACTACATGAGTTATGGAGATCTTGAAAACTGTTTTAACCATGTTCTACCAAAACAAAATAAATGTTCTTTACCTCTATTCCATCAAAACAAAGTTTAATAACTGGGACAAAAGCTTCTTCAACAGCCTGAGGGGAGAAAAGTTATATTTTATTTTCAGTAGAGAGAAGAACATTTACAAGCAATAGCTAGCAGGTCTAAACAATCACAATGAAATGCTGTTTACACAGATGCTTTTCTGTTTTCAGGTCAATTTTTGTCAGCAATGTCTTTCTCCACCATTGAGGATTTATGCAGTAAGCACTGATCAACTACATGCTACAACTGTCTAGATGTTAATTATAACCCAAACTCATACCAACCAGCTCTGATGATGTTACTTCAAGGTCCAACTGTTTCTCACTACATGTAGGACATGATCAAGCATCTTTTACTCCTCATAGGATCTCTAAGTATTCTAAGGCCAACCTATGGGGATTCTTGGTCTAAGAGTTCTCTTACTTCTATTGTTTCTGCAGTCAGTTTTTTTATGAGAAATTACAAGGAGACAACTGTGTAACTATGCAGTCTGACTTCACCTAAACCAGTTGCAAGTTACCACTCTCCAGAGCTTGAGCATCTTTTCTAAATGTTGTCATTAATAAGGTACTCTGACAAACAGCATCCATGATGAAACTAGGGAACCTGATATCTACTCTGCAATCAGCTAGGAATAACACCTTGTCCTGGTTTCAGCTGGGACAGAGTTAATGTTCTTTCTAGTAGCTGGTATAGTGTTATGTCTTGGATTCAGTATGAGAATAATCTTGATAACACACTGATGTTTTCAGTTGTCACTAAGTAGTCGTTAGACTAAGTCAAGGATTTTTCAGCTTCTCATACCCAGCCAGCAGGAAGGCTGGAGGGGCACAAGTAGTTGGGAGGGGACACAGCCAGGACACCTGACCCAAAATGGCCAAAGGGGTATTCCATACCATGTCTAGTGTATAAACTGGGGGGAGTTGGCGTGGGGGGCAGAAATCACTACTCGGGAACTAACTGGGCATCAGTCAGCAAGTGGTGAGCAACTGCGTTGTGCATCACTTGTTTTGTATAGTCCAATCCTTTTACTAGTAACGTCATTTTATTATTGTTATTATTAGTTTCTTCCATTCTGTTCCAATTAAGCTGTTCTTATCTCTGTCCTCAAGTTTCACCTTTTTCCTTCCGATTCTCTTCCCCATGCAAGTGAGTGAGCGGCTGCATGGTGCTTAGTTGCTGGCCAGGGGTAAACCATGACACACCTTCCTGAACTGAGAATTTAAAGTAAATGCAGACCTGCAGAGCACTGTTTTCGTAAAAGCGAAGAACACCGCATACCTCCAAATAACAAGTGTTAGGAACTGCCAGAGGTTAAACACAGTTCTAAGAGTGTTCCAATTCTTAACAAGAGGAGGAGACAACACTACTCTATGCACGTAACCTTAGTTAAGCTTACCTTAATGTTACTGGTTGGCAGGATGGATCCTAAGCAAAACATGAAGTTCACAAGTCTCTCAGACTCACTCACTAGAGTAACCATTAAGAAAGTCTAGGTTCCCTAAAGATGGAGATGTACAAACTTTCTTAGACCTAGCTGGAATGATTTTAAAGTGTTTTGACACCCTTACCTAAAGGTTATTCACATCACTGCAGAGCTAAACTGAACTGCATACATTGACCTACCTTGACGCTAAATCAACTACATTAGCTTGAGTTAGATAGAGTTTATAGCAAAGTTAACTGGAAATTTGAAAGATCAGAATCCCCTTAATTAAAGCATGTGGATTTAAAGATTACTAAAAGTGTTCAGATAATAAACCATTCAAAACAGTTCAGTGCATAAAGTATTACCACTGCATGTTTACACTACCCTGATAGTTACCAGCTACAGGATGCACAGAGTGGAAGAATGCTGTAGACAGTTCCATTTATTTTAGGGGAGTAAGACTAAACCAAACAATGTTTAAGATTTGCCAGCAACTATCTTCATCAAAAAAACAAAACAAAACAAAAACACAAAAAAACCCACCACCAATTCCAGCAGAGAAAATTTACTCCGAGCCAGCACTAAGAAGATTAAAGCTCCCACCAGTTGACCTAGGGAGGCTTGTCATTTAGGTGCAATAGAAACAAAGTACTGTATACCAGTGTGTCTTCTACTCCTACAAGGGTAAATCTTCATCTTTCCATGCTAAAAATCTTGGACAAGCATCTAATAATGAGACACACTAAAAAATGTAACTTCCATTTTCACATGCACAGTTGACAGCCAATATAGAAGGTTTAGTTAATATCAACCACTGCAATTGTTTATATAAGCATGAAATTATAAAAACAGCAGCATAACTGTATACTTTAAAACCTTCAATAAAAACACACAAGTTTGGTCCTGATCCTTTTCAAGCCAACACATTTGCATCTGCCTGCTGCTAGAGAGGAAGCAGAAATTTTGCAATACTAACACATATGCTAGATCATTCTGCCATCCAGATTTTTAAACGAGTGTCTCTTAAGCAGGAACAGAGGAAATTTGGAAGAATCTCTATTTATTTCAACTATGAAGATAGGCTTTGCTGCAGGTAACTAAAAATCTACTGCAAGCCTTAATAGTAAAGTTATGTTTACTTATTTAATGCATCATCTTTCACTATTAACTTTTCAGCATCATCAGTTCAGCTAGCTGTATCAGGCAGTTCACATACCCTCAGATCTTTTACTTCTTCTTGTTGTTTCAGTTTTTCATAAAACGATGTGAAAAAATCACTTCTTTCAACATGTCTTGGTGCAACACACAGGGCATCAATATCAGCACCTGAAATTGTTTATTAGCACAAGTAAGTTACTCACACTTCACACACATGAAATGCCAGCAATAGCCAGAGGTTTTTTGTTTTTTTGAAACTAAACAGGAAAATCTAGCTTCTCTTCCTGTAGAATGGCTTTTCTTTGGGAATACTAAGTAAAACCAAATGGTGGAAAAAAAATTTCATGACCATTAAGCATACTGAATACATACATACACATTCTTTTTTCAACAGTGGAACACTTGTAGATATTTTCAAAGAATAAAACATGAAAATCTAAGTATACAACTTTCTCTATTTTTAAATAATTTCCAACTTTGCTGTCTCTTTCCCAACCCATGACAAAAACATAATATAGGGACGTATTTGTTTTATTTAGAATGAAGACTGGAGATGGCTGACAAAAAAAGAAAACTAACACCACCTCAAAAGACAGCAAGTTTGTTACTTAAGTGTGACATTTACAGATACATCATTAGCTCAAACACGAGTTCTTTACAATAATAAGTAAATGTTACCTTTTGTATGAACCCCTAATCTATAGGATCCAAATGTAAAAATTTTTCCTCCAACATTTTCTATTACAGACTGTGGAAGATTCTAAAGGGAGCAAATAAAATTGGTTATTTTATCTTAACAAGTTATAACGACACACACAATTTATTTTAAAACAAAAGGAAAAATATTGCACAATTTATGTTGTTTAAGGTGTAGTTACTACTTAAATAATACTCTTAGTATTTACAGAAAAGACAGAGGTATGTTTGCCACTTGGGCACTATTTGTAACATTTCAAGTATATTTCAAACTTGGCAATTGTTCCAGCAGTTGTACACTTCAGGTGCAATTGCTTTAAAATATTATGCATATTAAACACATTTTGCTTAATACTCAGGCATTTTAGATTGACTTCAAAATTGATGATGGATTCCAATTTAGAAGAACAGAAAAATACTATTTACAGTATCAATGCTTATTAAATTACTTTCAGACACAAACATACTACATTCTTTAAATAAAAGTTTGATTTTGGGAGAGGTATTTATTTTACGTAAAATTGTTCAGGTACATCTACTAAAGTTCCTAGACTTGTATCTTCAAAAACCTCTTGAATCCACAGTACTGTGGGCAAAGAGAGTCTTACTCTTTTATAACAGGATGCAATGTTACAATCTAAAGCCCTACATGAATGGTTACACAGCAAAAGATATAAAAATAAAAAACTAATTATTTTGCAATGTATATTGGATCAACTTAAGCAGTTTCCAATCTTACAACAGTCAAGATACTCTCAATATTTTGTTTTCAAGGATCAACACATATATAGCAGGGTCATCCCCACCCATAATCTTGTTCGTGTATAAATTCCCATTCTGTAAGAGAAGCGTACAGAAGAAATACAATCCTAAATATACTCAAAGCAAAATAGCTGGAAAAAATAAGGCTTTCACCCCTAAAAAAAAGCCACCTCTATCTTTACATTTTTGCAAGTCTATAATCATTCAAAAGGTGTGTGTAGGGTTGGGGCGGGACTATAACCTGGCAAAAACACTACTATCATTATTGTCTACAGAAGTTAATGTTACAGGACTGACATTAAAGAAAAAGACCACAGATCATAAAGCTGCAAGAAGTCCATTTTAAGATCTAGCACGGGTTCACAAAGCCAATCAATCTAAGCATACAATTAACATAGTACTATACATATGTATTTTGACAAAAAGTCAAGCTATATTTCTACCTAGGGAGAAGCGGGAACAATTGAAAATCAACTATTACAACTACCGTGACTTTTTGCAATATTTATCAGTTTCTTTCTTTGAAAAGGTTCTACTTTGAAGGGGTGATGTGGCATGGAAACAAAAGAAGCTACATAAAGGTGGTATTTTTTTCCAATTAAATCAAATTTGATCCCCAAATCTAAGACTCATCCCATTTAGACTGGGAACATATTTTTGAATTGTCTTCCTACAGCAGTCATAGCATGAGCAGTTCCATGTAAAATACATCCATACCTTGCTTTCACTGATTTCCCGTATCCATTCCTTTACCAGGTTATTTAGTTTTCCCAAAATTAGAATCCTATTGATAAAACAGCAGAATCACAGATCATGAACTCAGACCAAACCAGTAGTATTTTTTAAGACCCTGATCATCATTACACAGTAAACCAACTACAGTAACACTGCAGATCTAACTACAGATCTTGTTACATACATACACTGAAACAAAGTCACTCTTACAACATTCCCACTATTTTTCCCCCTTTAAAGATGTTCAAATAATTTAAGCTCAGAAAATATGCAAGCACGCAAGGCCTACACACATTTTAGGCATATGAATTCTACTCACTTTCAAAATAAAACCTTAATTCATAAAACACATGCACCTAAAAGAACAGTGAGAAGCTGTAGAGAGCAAAAAGCTCTAGAAAGCTTAATAAGGAAAAAAAACAGCATAGGGGCCACTACAACAAAACAGTTACGAAGAAAAAAAAAAAAAAGCAAGCCAGCCCCCAAAATTTAAAAGTCATTTCAATTTATTGCTGTATTCTGAGGTATTCCTCTTAAGGTGAGAAAAATCAAGCTCAATATTTCACTAGGCTTTTAAGAAAGCATTTGAAAGAACACAAACATGCCTGGGGTTCAGTAGTCAACTACATGAATCTCAAGATAGGAGAAAAACAGTGCTAGAGTGAGTGTTTACTCACCTGCGTTGCAGTTCTTCTTCCTCTTCAAATACACCATAAGGTTTTAGGGTTTCGATTAATTTCTGGGTAAGCATGCAGTCAAACTCCTTGGGGGCAGCTAAACTGATAGGTGAGGTAATGCCATAATGCTTCTGTAGTTGCTGTGTTTGTGATCCCTGGGTTGTAACAGGACTAATAAAGGCAATTAGATAAAGTTACTGACAGAAGCAAAACAAAAAAATTCTAAAATTTTAAAATTTAAAATTTTTTCTCATCAGAGTAACAGACAAGAGACACACTAAGGAAATAAAAAGTTAAGCTTATTGTCAGCATTTGCATCCCAGATCAATCTGTGTTATTAAGGGCAACAATAGAATTACCTTTCTCCAACTCTACATACTGACTGCAGGGTTACAAGCTGGTATGAGACATGATCTTTTACACCAGCTGGCTTTACACACTCAAAACATTCACATAAGGAGGTTTTAGTGTATTTTGAGCCCATCAGCATCATACAGTTAGCTTTAGGCTGACTTCTCTGCTGGCTAACACAACAGGACGGTTAGACGAACAATGTCAGCTAGCTCAATCCATGCTGGCAATATTACATATAGCCTTGCTTCATGGAGGGGTAGGGGGGGAGACAACGGGATGAAAATATCAGGCTTGTGCTAGACTTGGCCCAGCACAAGTACCAATGATGTAACCAGTACCCTTTCCACATCGTCATGTTCCCTTAACATTACGTTTTACTTCACGTAAGTATTTCTCTAAGTAGGAAATTAAGCCTGAAGTAAACCTAACCTAGCACGATGGGTTAAATCTGCAACGACCTAGTTCACCAGTAAACAGTCCAATTACAAGCCCTCACAGCATCCTTGCCTTGCACTTTTCAAGCTACAGATAGATATGGACCCAAAACTCAGGCACAAGGATGATACTCTCAAGTCAATCCCCTGTATTTCAACATGGCAAAAAAAGGAGAGGAGACCACACAACAGAATTTCAGCAAATGTTATCGTCATATTGTGAGAACTAATAACAGCCTTCCTAGATGAGCATCCTGGATGAAAAACAGCCATGCAGTCTTTCATAATGGGCATATATTTCCTTGTGACATTCACATTTAAACAGCCTTATTTTCAGAACAGTTTGAGCTTTAAGGCTAGTAATTCTAAGTGTTTCAAAACTAAACTTGGTCCTGCGTAACGTACAAGTGTTTGGATTCAGTGATTACTGCATGCTATACCAGTATAGTTAAAACTTTTTTGAACTGGTACTAACAACAACATTAGCCATTAGAAAAAAAATTCTTAACCATATTCAGTATTGTAGAATGAATTATATACTTTAAGATTTAATGTAGCCAAATTTTAAATTTAAGAACACTTAGTGTTGCTCATTATATACTTCACAGGTTTAAAAAAAAATACACCACTTAAGTCTTTATTTAAAAAACTCTAAAGGTTACTTACAGCATTAACTACTAGTTTTATATTGATATACAGATAACTTTCCTCTAAGTTATGGATATTATTCCCCCACCTTTGATTTTTGAAAATGACAAATCATTGTTTTTAAGCACACTTAAAAGTTTCTTTTCTGAAACTTGTTACTTCAATTTACCAACCTTTTAAAGACCAGTAAAAACATTATGATCTCACATCAAAATACACATGTCAGAAAACATGTATTATATCAACAGCTATTCAAAAAGCCTTACCAACAATTAAAGCAGATACTACCCGAAAGTTAAGGCAATGCTTGTGTAGAAGTGTTGTATCTGCATTAAGTTATATTCTTACTACATAAGATTACTCCCTTTCAAAAGTATAAAGTAACGCTTTGTTTAATACCAAATGTATAGCTATTATTTTTAATTCAGATTATGCATCAATTTTTTTTCCTGAATTCAATTATTCATTCTACTAGGGCAAAAGCTTTATCATCAGTTTGGTCTCCTTCAACTTTCAGAGAGATAAAGTCTAAAGAAAAGAGAATCCTCCATATCAAAAATTCAAGCTGACAGCTTATGTGAAAGTCCCATTCTTGGCAAGCATAACATTCCCCAGTATATTGCTATATTATCAGTGTTTCATGTTTATACATGTTATACACTATTTCTATCATACAAAACAAGAAACAATTTTTCAGGCTAACTGCATATTATGCGTGCAAAAACTACAGTACAACTTCACTTTTACTTCCATAACCTGTTGTCATTATCTCCTCAGGATTTAATTCCTCATTTCCATGAAGACTAAATATTAAAAAAGAACATCTTAAAATTGACAGGAATCAATAAAACCTAATATGATTTTCCTCAAGTTAAACCCATTTTAAAACTATTCTAAGTACTATAATTTGTTTGAAATCAAGAATTCAGTGGCAAAGCAAGTTACTCACAAAGCAAGTTCTAGCTTGTTAGCAAAAAGACAAAAATACTAAAAAACTGTACATTAAAAAAAAAAAATCAACCCCCAAGTAATCATGTCTGGGAACATTATTTGAGATTGCTTCCTTCAGCTAAGAGCTTTTAATCACCTAATTAAGAATTTGGTAGCAGCTGAACAAATCTTATAGACCTTAGGGCTTTATGTGTGAATGAATTAAAAAAAAGTTGTTCAGATGAATTATATAAAACAGTAAATCAAATAAAGGACAAAGGAAGCTACTAAAACATTTTTTCTCTTTTTTGGAAAAAAAAGATTTTAGGAATGTCAACAAAAATAGTAGCTTCAGCCACTTAGTTGCTACTAAAAAAAGCAGTCAGAAAGCAAAAGGTCTCAATACATAAACATCCTTTGGATACTACAAATATTATTACTTATACCACAAAGCAAGTAGTTAAATTTGAACTACAATTTCTCCCCTTTTGCCAACTGTTAATTTGAAAAAATAAATTTGCTTTTTAATTTAAGATTTTTCAGTTTATTTTTACAGGTTTTTAAAGCAGTAATATGAAGCAATCGATATTTCAGTTTTGTGTAACCATTTCCTGATGGTCTGACTGTAATTTTCACTCTATCTGTAACCATAAACTGCATCCAATTCAACAGATATTAGACTTTATTTAAAGGGCTGGCAAAACACAGCCTGGCAGATGCTGTTACTAGATTTCAAAAAAAAGACTCAATGTCACTCAGACCCAGATTCTGTGAAGCAGACCAGTAAAGTCAGTAATGCTGATGGAGCCCTCTGTCTTCCACCTGCTCGTAAGGGCCATGCTTCACCAATTTGAGAACTAGTAACTTCAAAATAATCCTTCATTTTGCCCCCAAATTTACAATACATAAAACCCAACCAAACACCAGACTGCTTCCCTTATCTAGTGTACAGCATAACCCTGGCAATGCAATGTGCAGGTCTGTCTTCACAAAACACCATGCCGACATGACTTAAACCAGTATTATCTCCAACCCCTACAGGGCCATCAGAGCATGGTCATAGGGCACAAAATAAGCTTTGAAACTGTTCACTAAAAGGACAGCTTTTAACAACGTATCAAATCGATCACCTAATATACATCTTTGGGAACTGTTACACAAAAACAGTTACAGTTTTTACAGTTACTGCTTTTATATTCATGTATTTTATAAGAATGAAATAAGGATGTCAACAGCACAGGACCTTCCTACACAAATATTTTGCCTGTGTTTGAAGGTTGAGGAGTTAATAAGAACACTTTCACTGGGATGGTATGTAACACTTCTCAGCACAGCTGCCTTCTAGAAGTTTTTACAACTTCAGAAGACACAATGAAGCTTACATTTTAACATATATTAGTATTGAAGGGAATTTAGGTTATTTCCAGCTGAAAACATTTAAACTGAGGCTCAGCTGTTTACACCTGTTGAAGTTAAGGCTATTCTAAGGTTTTTGTAGCACACCAAAAGATCATCAGAAACATGCCTTCATAAAATGATAGAAAAAATGGTATTTGGCAAGAAAGTTTGTTAAACTCATTTAAGGATGCAATAAACAAACAAGTAAGTATATCCTCTCCCCAGCCCCTGCATCCCATAACACCAAGAAACTTCAAATAAAGCATTTGCTAGCTGCTTTTTAAATGAAAAGTAAAATACCACTGAGAAATAAATTTAAGTGCTCATTCTTCCAACTTTAATGTTGTATTTACATGTTACATTTTAGCCAGAAAATGCTAATGATCAACACTTCTAGACTTACCTTTTATTTTTTCCTAAAACCATGAAGATCACACTCTACTCCAGTATCTTCCCTCTTGAAAAGACATATGGACATTCTAGTTTCTACCCGTGACATGGCATGATATGTCACTTTTGGAATCCCTTAGTTTAAACTACCAAATTTATTCAAAGAGAAAGGACAGGTAAGTATCAACGCTAATCTTTTACCTAAGAGGATTAAGGAAGTTAAGGCCTTGGGGGGAGTCAATACCTTGGTGGTATGTCAAATCTGCTAGTCACTGAAGTTAAGCATTAACAAAAACCAGAGAGTATTGAACAGCAACAGAAGGTCCCATCCCAGCTACTCAATCTTGACAACAGCAGAGGCAGATTTGGCAGACCTTGTCAAGGTCTGACACTCAACTCAAAACATGTTTAGGACTTGCTTTTTTTAAAAAAAAAGCAAGACAGCCACAAAGCTTTTCTTTTTAAGATCACAAAGAAAATTAAGATACAGTCTGGGGCTTTTTTTGTTTATTTGTTTCTAGTCAACCTCATATACACATGAAGATCTTGCTCTCACTCTGCTATGAGTATGAGCTACCTGTCAGTAGCCCAAGTATGAAATAAAGTTGCAAAAAATGACACAGAGTTAAATTTAACGTGCTGTTGTTGTAGCTCTGTTTTGACCTGAATTTTTGAAGAGCGTATGCTGACAGTTTAAACTATCTGCAAACTGAGCAACAGCTACAGTGGTTTAATTCTGAAGTATTATGATCCAATATTTCATATCCAAATATAAACTAATTTTGTCTCTCAGAGAAATGCCCATGTACTTTTTCCCCATACAAAAACACAAACACACACAAAGTTCTAGTCTGTACTAGCTGGCAACAGTACAGGTAAATGACTTTTTTCTTCAGAACCCAAAATTTTGGTAGGCAGTATCGTCTTACATTGTTATCAATAACTACTGAATTAAAAAGAACAGACCCTGGTAATATGGCCACTGATAAAACCATTTTACAACAGAGTGCAGAAGTG